AGAAGATATCTTGTGGCACATAAATCTTACCTTTTATATATGGAAAAAGTTTATATAAGGTTGCAACCTTAAAATGTAGAATTACAGATGCGCTTCAATAATCCATAAAAAAAATGTTGTTTTAATGTGAAAAACCCTCTAATTGATCATCTCGACATCGAGATTAATGAATATGAAAAAAAAAAAAAAAGATTTTAAGTTGCAGAAATAGTGCATCTTTCAACACATTATTTAGACCATTCATTTTTAAGCTTTTTATATTTTTATAGATGTACTTGATTTTAACTTTTTTTGAAGTTTAAAATTTTATAATTATATATGAAAATAGATTTTCGGATAATCCTAAAAATATTTTACTCCAAAATTATATGCTATGATAAAATTTGGAGGTGTGCCTTAATTGGATTGTTTAAGGTTGCAACCTTGAAGAATATATATTCCAGCCCCTTATACTAATTTTACTCATTTTATTGCTTTTTTAACCCAAACAATTTGTTTCAAGAGAGCCATTTGTAACCCCATCCTTTCGATCTTCACATGATATTCTTATTTCTCTCTCTTTTTCTTTCCACCGTGACTCTCCCCAACCCCTTCTCTCTCTCACCGTATTAACCTTTTTCTCTCTCTCTCTCTCCCCCTCTGTGTATCTCACTCTCTCTCTCAAGTCTTAATTTCTTTCTCTTTTTCTCTCTTCACCGTGACTTTCTCTAATTCATCTCTCTTTCTCATTATGACTCTACTCCACTGTTACTTTCCATAATTTCACTCTTTTTCTCTCTCCACCGTAACTCCCAAATTTTTCTCTTTATTTCCATGACTCTCCCCAACTCCACTGTGACTATCCCTAATTTCTCTCTTTCTCTCTCTCTACCCTCTTTCTCGCCATGACTCTCCATAATTCCACCGTAACTCTCTTTAATTTATCTCTTTCTCTCTCTCCACTATGACTCTCCTTAATTTATCGCATCCTCTCTCCATTATGACTCTTCCCAAACCCTTACTCTTTCACTCTCATCGTCTTACTCCACTCTCTCTCTCCCCCTCCATGTTTGTCATTCTCTCTCATGCTTTCCTGAAACACCTAACTTGAAAACCTTGAACTCTAGAAAATAGTAGTCCTGGAAACTTCAAACCTCTATAATGACGCTTTGAACCTCTACAAATGATAAGATCGAGAGAGATTGTGTCGTTTGGGGCACGAACCTCTACAAATGAAGCTCTCGGTGGTTTGGATCATTTGCAAATAAAGCTCTATGTAGTTTGAGTCCACTGCAAATGGAGGTGCATGTGGTTTAGGGTGCGAATATCTGCTTCCAAATGGAGCACTAAGAGGTTTGGGGAGAGAGAGGTTGGGAAAACACAAGGAGAGAGAGGTTGGAAAACGTAGAGAGAGAGTTTGGGGAGAGAGAAGTTGGGAAACACACAGAAAGGGGTTGAGAAAACACGGCACACGGGGATAGAAAGTAAGGGTAAGAGAGAGTAAGAGACATGGAGAGAGAGAAAGAGAGAGAGAGAGAGAGAAGCAATTTGGGGAGAGTCATAGGGAGAGAGAATTAGAGATTTGGGGAAGAGAGAGAAAAAGGTTATGAAATGATGTCTTTTTAAGAATTATTTGGGTTAAAATAAATAATTAAAGTGAGTAAAATTAGTTTAAGGGGTTAGAGGTTATAAAACCTAAGTTTTCTATGATTAAATGAAATATTAGGTATATTGAGATATAAAACCTAAAAATAAGGAGCATGAAGATATTTTCCTAAATATATTTATCAATTACAGTTGAGAATTACATCATCTACATGAGGTATGACATTGTAGTATTAATTATTTTTTAACCACTAATAGAGTTCACTTGTTTATTATAAAAAAATTTATTCTACCTCCCTAATGACAAAAGATACTCTTGTTAAAAAAAAATTGTATTACAAAGCAAAGGGGTTGTGTCCATTATAATAAGAATGTATACAATGAGACTATGTACTTTGATATAAAGAGGTTCTAATCACTATTGACTAATAGATCTAAATTCAGGTGGTTAAGGATGTGTCATTATTAAGGCACAAAGTCCAAAATAAAAATTCTTGAATGTTGTGGCCCACTTTCATGATTTCATCCATTAGATTGTACATCCAATGGCTAAAAATCATTGTGACCTCTTGTACCAAAAAAAAATGGTATATAAATACAGAGAAATGATCCTATAGGACGTACCCGCACCATATGTATAGGACCCCAATAGATCACTATTAATTTGACACGGATTTATAGAAAACTCAAGTCTCACACCCATGTGATAACTTTTTTAGAGATCTGTACCAACTTTAATAGTAATCCTTTGGGATCCTACACACATGAGTGGGGGAAGGTCCTATAGGATCATTACTCATAAACATAACGTGCTATTTCAAATTTTAAAAAAGTTTACATAGAGCCAAGGCTCTAAACAATCAAATTAGAGCCCACCTTACAAATTTCACTAGAAGTGATTGTTTTGAAACCCAAATACCCTCAAATTGATCATTTTGACATCAAGATACATGAGAAAAAAAAAAGTTTTAAGTTTAAAAATAGTGCATCTTGCCATGTGTTTTTTGACCGTCAATTTTTAAATTTTTATAGATATATTTGATCTATATTAATTTTTAATCTTTAAATTTTATAATTAAAAATAAAAATATATTTTAAAACTATCACAAAGATTTTCAACAATAAACCACATTTTTCCGTGTACAAAACAAGCCCTTAAAATTTGGTGAGCTGTTTGTTTGTCATTTTCCATTTTTAGAAGGTCGTCGTTTTGCATGGCGTGTGTGGTACTGTCGGGAAAAAAAAAAAAGGCGTTTTGACAATGTGTACATCGGATTTGGATGGTGTTTGAATTCCAAATGAATGTATGTGTTGGCGTATCGTAATTTGTAGGTGATTTGAGGTCTACATGAAAAGATAAGATTGGAACCTCCTAGAATTGTACCTCGAAACATGCCCACTCAAATGTTAAAAATATCTCTTTAAATTTCTAAGAAAGGAAAACATCGAAGGTATTGTATACAATGAGATCATTTGGTCACTATGAACACAATTACTGATAAGGAATTTGGTAGTTTAAATGTGTCATAAAGTTCGAAAAAGGTTTTTTTGAAGATTATGTTTGGTCAACAAAATAATTGCATACACCTAATTTTATATCCAATAGTTAAGATTAATATGACCACTTTTACCAAAGATAAATGGTTTCATCATGTACTTTTTCCAAACATAGATACTAAATAAATAAGTTTTTTTTATCTTTTGATAAAAAAAAAAGTTGATTCAAGGTTGTAACCTCAAATTTTAAAATTAAGGTGCATCTAAAAAATCTATCATAAACAGTTGTTTTAATGTTGAAAAATCCTCTAATTGATCATCTCAACATCAACATGTATGAATCACCATCATTATCATTGTCCTCATAGATTTTTTCCAATTATTTGGGACCGGTTACATGAATTTTAGTTCGCCGTTCTGTTCTATTAGAGGCTATAAGTCCTCATATCTTTTTAGACTACTTTCAACCATGTCCTATTGGGCTTAACCCTTGTCCTTTTCGGTCATTTCACTTGAACTAACAAGTATTGTACTTGGTCGACGTCACATACGGCCTATCCACCTAAGTCTACTCTTTCTCATCTTATCGTCAGTTGGTGCCACACCAAAATTATCCAAATGAATTCATTTCAAATTCTATCCCTTATTGTCTTACAACTTATCTATCTCAACATCCTCGTCTCCTCTACACTCATTTTATAGGTATATTGTTTTTTGTCATTTAGATGTATGAATATGAAAGAAAAAAGATTTCAAGTCCCCAAAAAAATGTACTTTACAACATGAAAGACCGAAATGGGCATGGGGAAGAGAGAGAGGGGGGGCAACGTGCCCTCTCCCATTGTTATTCCCCGGACCACCCACTCCTTCCATTATCTGTACCATCTACTTTTAAGATTTTCATATGTTTATAGATCTACTTATATGAACCATTCGTAGAGTTTAATATTTTATAATTAAATATCAACATAGATTTTCATGCCATCCTAAGATTTTTTTATGCCAAAATTATATTTATGATAGAATTTGAAGTCACGCCTTAATTTGATTGTTTAAAGTTGCAACTTTATACAAACCACACCTTTTGATAAAGGATAAAAATGAAGATTATATTGGAAATATAAAGAGGCTATTTACTTTTGATACAAGGAAGTCACAATCATTCTCATCCGTTGGATTTCAAATCCAGTATATTAAACTCAAACTTAAAATTAAAATAAACATAAAAAAATTTAAACTTTGTGACTCACCTTAAACCATCAAATTTGACATTTAATATTTGCTAGGAATTACAATTTATTTGTACCAAAAATAAACAGTTTCACAGTATACAATCCCAATTATTTTGAAAAAAAATCATATAACACATATATTTAGATATTATATCCCACAATCCATTAAGTCTTTTGAGTTGAAAATTTGCATATAAGTTCTTCACTCAACCCCAATGTAATTTGTCGTGGGGTTCAAGACTAAAATAAAGGCATCGAATTAGGGGTCGGAGAGAGAGCAGTCCCCCAGGAAATGGGGGCCACTGAATTTTATAAAAAACGGCAAATAATTCAATCATAACTCTTTAGTTATTTGAGTTTTGGATCTAAATTCTATTATATTATCTCTCTCCCAGTATTGATAAAGAGATATTGGGGATTTATACTGTCAGACTATCTATTTTTAGTATAAAAAAATCACAACTTTTTTTAGCTATTAGATGATAAATTTCACTTATTAAAATGTATCATAATTTTCGAATAAATTTATTTTGGACTTTGTTCTAGTGGCACATCACCATTAACAATGACTGTAACCCTCCTTGTATGGAGGTGCTCGGAGATTAGTATATTTTTATCTGAGTGTCAAGGATATTGACCGTCCCTTTGAAAAATGGGCGGTTGTTACAGATAGTACTTCCCGAAGTAGATGGACGGTCGAGATATTCTATTCGGCATCACCCAAGACCCACTTGTTGACTCCAGGAACTCTGCTCTCTCTCGCGGTGATCACTGCGAAACGTCTCTTCTCTCTGCAACAAAACAAGGGTATAATCCAGTTTAATGGCGGATGCGAACCAGAGTCAGGCCAAGCCGATCAAGATCATAGCAGGAGCCGATGACTTCGGCTGCTCCCTCAAAGATTCAGTTCTCTCCTACCTCTCCAGCCATGGAATCCCCTTTGAAGACCTCGGAACCAACAAATACTACTCTGTAGCTCAAGAAATTGGGCGTAGGGTCAGTGACTCACGCGGTAGTGACGAGCCCTTCGAGACCAGAGGCCTTCTCGCCTGCGGAACTGGTGGTGGGGTAGCCATGTTCGCTAACAAATTCCCTGGTGTTTATGCAACGAACTGCACCTCAGTGGACGATGCCTTAAATACGCGCTCCATCAACGACTGCAACGTTCTTGCCCTAGGTGGAATGAAGACCAGTCCTGAAGAGGCCTACCAGATCCTCGAAGCTTGGCTCAAGACCCCATTCAAATCTCCATGCCCCGCTAGCGAGAATTCTCCATGGCCTCCAGAAATCGAATCTTTCCTCGACAAGGCAGTTAATGAGATGGCAATGATCCCCGAAAGGAAAGAGGAATCTAGCTCGTGTGCAATATGTTGCTTGAGCAAGAACATGGAGTTCGTCCCTGTCGGTATAATGCCAGGAGGGAGCATGAAGATTTTGCGGCAGAGCCCAACCTCTGCAATTGTAAGGTTTAAGGCTGGGAGCGTAGAGCCTGCTCATCACCACACATTTGGGCACGATCTCGTGGTCTTGAAAGGAAGCAAGACGGTTTGGAATTTGACCAATAATGAGAGCTATGATTTGGGTCCTGGGGATTATTTATATACTCCGGCGCCAGATGTGCATAGGGTGAAGTATTTTGAGGATACAGAGTTTTTTATAAGGTGGGATGGAGGTTGGGATATCTTTTTGGATGAGGATTTAGGAGCTGCTAAGGCTGAGATCGCGAAAGGATGCTCAGTAAGCATTGAAAAAGTAACAAATTGATCGAAAAAGCTTCTGAAGGATCAAAGGAAGTAGAAGATTCCATGAGTCGAGTTTCTCACGAGGTTTTGAGACATAGATTCTGTGTCTTTTGTTTGATATAATTATTTAAGAATAAGCTGCTACTTCTCTGGTTTCCTTTTTGCTTCTGTGTATGTACAATTGCAATGTGTGATGTGTGTAGCGTTTGTGGAAAATGCTTTTATGCAGTTGTGCTTTGTGTCTTAGTCTGTGAAAATGCGTGTATTGCAACATATGTTGCTTGTAGTGTTACGTAAGATCCCATATTTGTGAAAATGCTTGTATGCTAATGTGATGCTTAATTTTTATTTCGTTTATGAAAATGCTTGCATGCAGTTGTGCTCTGTGTTTTGCCTGTGAAAATGCTTGAATGGATTGGAACATGGGGTGCTTGTAATGTATGTAAGCTCCCTATCTTTGAAAACAATCAATTTGGTTATTTATGGGGAGGAAATGTGTAGATTTGGTTGTACTCCTTGTGAGTTGGGAACCATGGCATAGCTTCTTAATTCACAATTAGGAGATTGATGTGGTTTCTGTTGGGGTTTTAAATGAATTATATTTTCATAAAATCGGAAAAGAATTAAATGATAGTTTCATCAATTTCCTATAATTAAATGATGATGCAAAGGAACTCCAATATGATGAATGATTTTGCAGGTCAAGGAATTTTTGTAACTAGTTTTCAAACTTAGAAGATGCAATTGGCAAGCTCTTTGTTGCTCTATGATAATCATGTGGTGGTAGCTTAAGCATTTATGCTTAAAAAATTATGTGAAGATGATAAGCTTCAAAAATGAAAATACATTTTACATTTATTTTGTTTTGTGATAATCACATGGTCATAGTTTAGTCATATGTGCTAAAAAAATAATATAAAGATGATAATAAACACAAAAATAAAATATATATATATGAACATGATGACCAACTCAAAAAATAAAATTGATTTATTGCTTTCAAGTGAAATACTAGTAGTTCCTCTTTAAAAAAACAATTGTCCTTAATAATCCTAGTAGTTCCTCTTTAAAAAAAACAATTGTCCTTAATAATCCTAGTAGTTCCTCTTTAAAAAAACAATCGTCCTTAATAATCCTAGTAGTTCCTCTTTAAAAAAACAATCGTTCTTAATCATTGTAGTTATTAAGTGTTGCTTACAAAAAGAAAAAGATCCTGACTAGTATATATCAAGCTTGGGCTATAAGGGATTAATTGGTCGACAGTTAATATGATTATTTGGTAAGCCATGGCCTATAAGATTGTTGGCTCTTATCTTATTTCATTCTTATTGTATGAGAATTTCCCACTGCTAGCTACCTTATTTTAAAAAAAAATTGTATTTATTTACTCAAGAAATCATTATTGGCATTACTGTGATAACTACCTGGTGTTGAAGCATGCATTACTGTTCCGTAATTGTCAAGCTGTTCACTACTAGCTCCACAAGCTGGGGAAACTGCTCATTAGATGATTCCTCTATAATAGTTCATGTATAATTCTTCTTGTTATAACTGTCAGGGCCTAGTCTTTCACTTCATCAATTGTGTGGCACCAAGTCTAAGTCGAATTCGAATTATGCAAGGGCAACCTGCTACAAATTTACATGAGAGGAACGGTAAACAAGCCACAATTTATAGAAAAGGGATTCAGCCCACGCTTATTAGCTCTATGCACTTGGTTATGTACAGCTATGGTGCCCACTACCTGGTATGACAGGTACAAGTCCACACCCCACTGTCAATGGCTGCCCACTATGTTTCATTAGAGGAGGAGGAGGAGAGGAGGAGGAAGATTAATAGTCTGGTCTACCGATTTTACATGTGATTACTGCCAATGCAGGATCATTGCATGGCTATTGATGCCCACACATACTGCATTCACCCCTATGACCGTAACACAAGCCCACGTCTTTGGGTGGTTACACATTTTTAATTCAAATTCCACACTTGACTGGTAGATGGTCAACATACCACCTGCCCAATCTGGGTGTCGGGTTAGCCATGCCTCTTGCACATGTGTCCTACCCATGTCCTGTCAGGTTATGGTGCCCATGGGTTGATAATTGAAGCCTCAACCTGTTGGTTTGGTGGTCCACTTGGTCCCACAAACTCTCCTTCAGCACCATCTTGCCCAATGCCTCACTTTGAAGGTCCTTGCCACTTGCCCACACGTGTGCCTTGTCCGTGCCCCGTACCCCACCAGCCTTGCTTCCTGCCAAAGGATGATAAAGGTTGATGGGTATTCCCTCATATAAGTTTGTTGGTTTAAAGAATTCATCCATAATAGAGATAATCTGCAAAAGTAGCACGAGCATACAAGACTTGTGGGTCCTCTGTAAGTTGTTTCTCTGCTAAAGGAGGTTTTGTGCCCCTTATTTAGCTCACACACATGATGTGAAGAAGGGGGTTTGACAGTAGCCAACTCATTGTTTTATTTGCTGTATATGTTCACGGAGTTTGAAAGTTGTGCTTTGTCAATCATCTTCTGTCCAAAATATAGTGTAACCAATTGTCCTTTCAGTGGTAGAGATCAGTGAACATATATAACATCACATGCATCAAAAGTGACTGCAGCTTTGGAATTGTACATTGATAATTATCATGGTCTCTCTAATTTGACTTATTTATCTTTATTTTTCGTGTTCTTATTGATATCCCCATTGGTTAGGGTTCTTCAAGTTGAATGTATTGAAATAAATTTCAATAAGTTATTTTTTCCATTGGAAACCTGATCCTTTTATCTCCAAAATTTAAAATCATAGAAAAATAAGTTTTTTTATGTAGTTTTACCATCTTGAGATTGTAATCACAATAATGGAAATGTGCATTACAGGTGCAATGCTAGTACGCTTTCATGTATTTTCGAAATGACCATGATCAATGAGACATCCCACTAGTCCTCCATCCCCTAGAGTCAATGCGTTACAGGTTGAAAAGAAGATACGAGGGAAAAATTGTTGGATATACGACCTTGGAGAGAGTATGGTTGATGCTTACATAGGCTGTCCTCTGGGCAAGTCGTAAATAAATGGATCAGGCCAAACAGCTCCTCTCATATAGGGAGATGTTGGCCATGTCCAGGAATGGTAAACCAACCCTGAGGGTTGACCTAACAAAGGTAGCGGTGGTTGCCAAGTTGCTATAGAACTGCCTGGTCATTGGTTCTTTCAGAAGTGGCTGAATGTAGCCTATATTGAATGGAGCAACAATAGCATGGAAGGTCACAACCCATCCAATCATAACTCTTCTCAACACTAGTAGGCTGTTAATGGGACTGGGCTGGCCTCAAGGCTTTCAGGCCTGGCCCAGTTTGGGGCTGCAAGTTAAGGCCCCATAGGCCAGGCTCCTGGCAATCTCGTAATTTTTGGGCCCTGAATTCGGCTTGTTAACAGCCCCAAGACACTGCCCTGGTATCATCAAATGCTTTAAAAAGGAGGATATTTTTTTCTATATAGCTCAAGGGCTCTTGGTATTTTAGCTGGATAGGCTTTGTTCCTATAATTTGCATTACCGCAGAGGGTTCATGGTTACCCTGTCGGGGTTGGTATTAGTCCTAGGGTGGATGCTGAGCCTAGAGCAAACCAAGACACTGATGAGTGAAGTGGTACAAGAGGAAAGTAAGACATCTTGTAGTTTGACCAGGCGGAAACCACGACACTCCAATGTATTAGGATGTGGCCTGTGAGCACTGACATACATCCTACACAGTGTGGGCTGCTAGTTACCTTTCTTTGGTATTGTGATGGATTGGTAGCATGCATAGCTTGAGAGAGGACTCCCAACGGATGTTTCGTAGACACCGATACACATCATTATTTATAAGTGTCCAAAGTATCTAGTACGAAAGGTAAAAGGTTCAGTATTTTTAGACATGTCCATACAATGTACTACTCTTTTGGTTATATATCTATATATATATAGAGTAATGATCCTACAGGATCTTCCTCCACGCATGTGTGTAGGATCCCAAAGGATTACCATTAAAGTTGGTATGGATATCTATAAAAGTTATCACATGGGTGTGGGATTTGACTTTTCTATAGATCCGTGCCAAATTTAGAAGTGATCTGTTGAGGTCCTATACACATGGGTAGGGAAGGGTCTTATAAGATCAGTTCTCATATATATATATATATATATGAAATATACTAAAAAACGTTTATAGGTGAAAATGAACAGTGAATTCGTCTACCATCATCACCGTTTAAAGTTCATCAAGATTATGATTGTTCGGTAGTGTTTTATTTTTCATTTTTTTTTCTACAAATTGGAATAGCTTGAAATTTAGAGTGTGTGTACATCTTAGTGAGGTACACTTAATAAAATTATATATAAAAAAAATCGAGAAAAAAAATTAAATAAAATACTCTCGAAACTTTTCGAATATATCAACATTTCTACACATTTATTTTTTTTCTTGTATTGTTACATGTCAACATCTCCAAATACGTTGGAAAGAAAATAGGCTTTGAAGCAATTCATAATTGGGAAAGGATGCATTCCCACCCCATTTGAAATGTGATAGATAAGAATTGTGACTTTGTTGTTTGTACCAAAATAAATAGCCTCATTGTGTACTTTTCTTAACAAAAGGAGGCGGCAAGGTCTCCGCTTGAGATCGACACTGGATGTACAAAGTGTGAAAGTTCTTGTTGTTTAAAGGGGGTATTAATGTCAACCACAACAAGATTCGCAAGGCTGCAACAAAAACTGCATGTTATGCAATATTTGAAGGACACGGTTTCTATGCGGCCAGCCCGCATGCTGTAGAAACGTGGGCTTGACAATAAATATATTTTTTAAATATAATTTGATATTAATTTTTAGAGAATATATAATTTTTATCATAGAGATCATGAATATGAAAAATAAAATTAAAAACTAAAAATAATAGTTATATTAAAAAAAACATTTGGATCGTTAGTTACACTTGTTTTAAGATGGACCACCCATTTGTATCTATCTTTAAGATAGATGCTTTCCACCTTTGGACCGTATAATGTAGAAATTTGGTCCAGCCCGTATGAAACAATTTTCCATATTTTGAAAGCATGTGTAGTGAGTATTCATATTTTGTTTTATATATATATATATATATATATATCAAATTTTAATATGAAATAATATTTGTATAGATCAGGAATGGGGTTGGGGCATCAGTTGTCAGGGGAATTATGCTTCAACATATATCCTTCCCTATATACCAACTTTTAACTCATTAAAAAAAAAATAAAAAACAAAAAATTTATTGATTGTCTTGTTTTGCGGATGAACTATCATTGTGTAGAAAAAACAGACTAGCCGGGTCCAAAAAACCTCAAGGCGCACACCTAGGGCTAGGC